TTGAAAGTTAAAAACAAAGGGAAGTGATTTACCAATCATAGTTCCTTGCTCGTGAACAAGCACCGCGAGATCCTTGAAAATCTCATTCACTTCACCAATCTGTTGTTGTACTTCTTGTATTCCAAGATCTCTTTCCTCGATAATAGCTTCATTAAAAGCAATCTCATTGTCTAAATACAAAACATCCTGTCTGAAGCAAGGGGCACATGGAACACAAAACAACCAGATCAGAAGTGAAGATAAATATCTTAAAGATGCTAGACAGATGTCAATGCAACTTCAAAAGATGGCCAAGAAATGTGAGTTTTCAATTTATTGTTCCATGGAAACAAATGAATTTTCATGTCAGTGCTCGTATTTAGGGTGAATTATAATTCAACTTGCTCTGTTCCCTTTCCCAAGTTTGATGTGGACAAATGAATGCCTAGGATTTTATGAAGATCTAAATAACTACATCTACCTCATCTTTTCACAATAGAATAGAAGATACATTAATTCACATTTAATAGTTAGCACAATTTTTTGATAAGGTAAATCATTTTTAAAAACAAATGGAGAAACATAGGAACCTTGTAAGTACAACAAAAAGTAACTAGAGATAGAACTCTCCGATGCAAAATTTACAAAATCTTGCTCCACCCATCAAATATCCTCCTATGTGTCTCTTTCCAAATGACCCACATGATTGCTAAAGGATCAACACTCTATGCCCTTGAGCTTCTCTTTCCCTTCCTATGAGTTCAACTTTGCAAAGGCTCTTTGACTGTACCCGGCATCACCCGTTGCATCCAGAACAAATTGAGGACCACCCTCCATAACCGATTAGCCACCTTATAGTGCAAGACAAGATGATCAACATTTTCACCTGCACTCTGACACATGAAGCACCAAAGATAATAGATCTTCCTCTTCCATAAATTTACCACAGTTAAGATCACGCCCCTAGCTGCCAACCATACAAAGAAGCAAACCTTAGCTGGTGCTCTCGGAATCCATATGGACTCTTTCTCTCAATGCCCTTGAACTCCAAAAGTAACCGCATGGAATCATTCATCAAAAGACAACAGTAACAACACATAAATTTAATATCTTAACGCCCATAGGTATGTCATTTCCCAACACTCTAAGCCCCGATCTTCATTATCTGATTTTTCTGTACCACAGCAAATAGTCCTCTATCTAATTCGCACTAACCCAACAGTTGTCTAAGGACCAAACTCAAAGATGAATTTCATTTCCCTGTGTGCCTATAATTGATGGCTATCCTGCTGGTGAGTTTTAGCAACCAATTCAACCATCAATGTTTTTCAACTAAATGCATCTCTGAATTCTGATAAAACAAGTCTAACTGATAATCTAGACACAAGCGCAAAAACTAGTAATAATTATAAATAAAAAAAAAGAGTAATAGGACTAGACTAACTCACCTTCTTGATTCCACAAGAAGAGCTCGCTGTTCCTGACTCTTATCTGAGGCAACATCTACCTCACTGGCTGTGTAACTGCTTACCACGACATGGTACAAGTTAAGGGTATGAGCAAAAATGTGGGGAACAAATATAGATGAAGGGCATGAGCAAAAACGTGGGGCAACAAATATAGATGAAGGGTATGAGCAAAAATGTGGGGCAACAAATATAGATGAAGGGTATGATTCAGTAAGTCTATAAAAATGGGACTGTAGACTTTAGAGTAAGCACTAGAAGTTTTTTTTTAATGTAGTTCTTCATATGCCAATAACTCTGTTAACTAAAAGAGAAGTCCCATAAAATGACCATTGCTGCTAACATTACCTAGAAGGAAGAACGGCTTGGGGAATGAAAGGTGTATATGCTGTCTCCCTCTCTGCTGCAAGTCTCTGAGCCTTTTGAAACTCTTTTAAGACAGCTTGAAAATCTTTAGCAAGTTTAGCATCTGTTATTTTCTTGCTAGCCTGAGAAAAAGCAGCATGAACTTAAATTCATACAAGTAAGAGAAAAGATAGAATAAGAAGATGAGGAAATAAACATCAGAGTTCAGACAGTCGGCCACTTCCAAAAAAGAAGAAGATGAGAACTTAGTATATAAGAAACTCACAAAGAAATAAGATGAACAGTATTTTTAAATATATGTGACCTGAAAGGGCATACCCATCAAGATCAACAAAAGTGACGAGGAGAAATATCGAGCTCTTTGGAACTTACACTAACATCAGCATGATGATCTGTTTCACTTGCTTGCTTAAGTTTTGCAGATGTATCTTTGACTAACTGGCCAATATGAACCCTTGTCTTGTGCCTGCAATTGAGCAAAATTAGCACAGTTACCACCAAACAAATGTTTGATCAAATGCCAACTACTACTTTTAACTACATGCTAAAAGGTAGGCAACATCTTTGAGCTCCGTTGGAACACTTGACACTGCTTCTAAACACTACTATTGGAAAAACCGTAATGTGGAGCGTCTGGTAGAGGTTAGCTAAAAATTGAACAGACAAATTTCAACATTTTCCAAAATCAATGTACTGCATTTTCCCCACCAACCTTTCATTTTCCGCATTTTCCCCACCACCCTTTCATTTTCCTAGTAACCCACCCCTAATGTCAACCCTCTTTTTTCCCAGGGAAGGAGTGAGACAACACTTGTCACCAGTCCATCCAGAAAGCATTTGATAAGTAAACAATTGCTCAGCCATCCTTAAATATCCAGTAGACTAAATCCACGATATACTTGTTACCTTCCACCATACCATCTAGCTATGTTCACCAAAGCTTGGACAGATAGCAAGCAATCACCTTTTTGTTTTTGCCTCTGACAAGAAATGAGAACCCGAACTCCATGGTGTGCCTCTACCGGGATTGAGAACCGGAGACTTCATTGACCACTAAGCCACACATTTAGGTGACCTCAATCAACAATCTATTCCAAACTAGTCATGATCTACTATATCCATTTTCAGCTCCTTTTGGATAAATCATCATAATTATACTATTTCATTTTGAATTCAACATATATCAACTCCCCTTAACTCTGAACTTTCGACGAGCTAAAACTAACATACACGCGATTCAAATAATCTGATACAAAACTTTGAATTGTTTATGACAAAGAACACTTACAACTTATCACGTAGCTCAGGTGTATCTTTTGGGGTTCCAAGTGTATTCACTAGCCTCTGAAACGTAGACACAGCAGTATTGATCTGGAAGATTCCAGAAGCCACTGCTTGGGTCGGGTCTTGCTTCCCATTTGTCTGGAACCGACGAGACCCCAAAGGTCGACCCGATTCCAAATCCTGAAAACTCATACTTTTGTTCTATTTCTTCGAAAAATCTCAACTACCCAACAATTAAAATCTACAGTTATATACACAGAAATAAATAAAATCAAATCTTGATCACAATAAGAATAATGGGGTTTGGAGAATTTGTAAGGAAATTGAGGGAACTTTGAGAAGTCCAAAATTTTCAGGTGAAATTCCCAAAAACCAAAAATCTGTAATTATATGTACAGAGACAAACAAGATCAATTTTTTATCACAAATATGTCAAGATTATGAAGTTATGGAAGTTGGTTTTGGGGAATTTGAAAGAAAAATTGAATTTTTGATGAAGAAGACGAGTAAAAATGAAATCTTTTTTAGCTTTCGAAAAGGGAAAAGGAAATGATTCTGCCTTTTGTGTGTGGCAGGTCTCATTGTCCCTTTGGATGTGACTCAGCTCAGCTGGTTGCCACTTGGCAGCTTACCTTTATATTATTCAAATTAATATATAAATGTGTCTTAGAAACACTTTTGTAAGATATGTTTATGTATTATGTCTATTCAAACATAGTATAATCGCCTACTTCATTTGAATCTAACGTGGAAATGAGAATCGATGTGCAAGTCGTGAGTGAGAGAAAAAGCTTCAAGTATTTGGATTAATATAGTTTTAAAAAAATTGGGAGGCAGATAAGGATGTTGCTCATTGTATTGGAGTCAGGTGAGTGAAATGGAGAGTCACATTTGTGATCTTCCAACAACAAGAATATGTCACCAAGACTAAAATCAGTTTTATTTAGTGGTTACATGAGTGAAGTATAGATCGATCGAGAGCGTCCACTTTCAAAAAATGAAAATAACGAGAATAAAGACGAGGATGTGTGAGAGATTAATTGTGGAGGGTTTGAAGAGAGGTAGAAGTAGGTTGAAAAAGTAACTAGACACAAGATAATATAATTTGGGTTCTACTTTTTACTAACTTTATTAATTGATATGACCTACCCTTGAATGCCTATTCAAATAATGTCCTGGTCTTTTCAATAATATAATTTGGGTTCTAATATTTGTCAAGTTAAACATATTGGACTATGACAGATCAAGGATTAAGTTGTTTGTATAAATTTGAATTTGAATTGTTCTATTATGAATTTTAATATAGTAATTAAATAGTCAATAAAATACCACTTTTAAGTGCTAGTTACCATTTTTAGATCGTTCGTGTTATATTATTATCGTTTCTTATTCTTCTTAAGACTTTTACCTATGAAAATTTAAACGGGTGGAATCCAATTTCATATTCAAAAAATTTAAAAGGTTGAGCTACCAAAATCAAGACGTTAGAACTCAAATATGAAGTTAGACCTTGACAATTATGAAAATTCAGACCGATGATTGAAGCCTCTTATTGGAGATCTTAAAATTTGATTATGAGGTTGCTAAATTTAGCAAATTTGTGATTTTTATGATCCTAAAATGGTTGATTTTGTATTTCATCTCGTAACATAATTGTTATTTTAGAATGTCACACGCGAATTTTAAAACTAAAAGATAGCAACTTTTTTAAAACGAAATGCAGTCTATCGAAAATAGTTTATCTAATCCATAAAAGATATGATTAAGTCTATACATTTTATCTTTTTCAAACCTCGCTCGTAAGATTATTGTGATAATGTTGATGGTGTGGTTATTAGTGAAAGATTTTCCTCTCTTTTGGTACCCACTCTCAATTTTAGGCCCATGTAAACATTGGGCCCAATATATTTTGGTCCAATTACCGCAAAGTGCAAAAAAGAAATTGAAAATCAATCAAAGTTCATTTTCTTTGAAATTGGCGATCTTCATGCTCTGAAAGCAGAAATCTTCAACACCAAGAACCGAACTTTTCAGGTGATTTAAGTTTGTTGTTTCTCTTACTTTAATGGGGTCTCAATATTTTTCTGAATTTCTGCGATTTTATTTATAATTTTTTCCATTTCCCACAGTCATATTGCCAATTTTATTGAGTTTATTGATTGATTGAGTGTCCTTCAAAATGTCCATTTTTTTTCGTGATATTTGTAGTATTTATTGATCATTAACTGAGATGATGGATTCATGTTCCATAGTTTCTGAATAGGGTAATTGGAATTCAAGCATGAGTTAGGGATAAGGTCTGCGTACATAATACAGTACACTCCCCAGTCTTCACTTTGTGGGATTACATTTGATATGTTGTCGTTGTTGGTCGAATTCGTATAAAATTAGCCTAAATGGAAGTGGGGATTGATATAGTTGAGGACGACTTGTTTGGGACTGAGGCATAGTTTGTTGTTGGAATACGAATGGGCATATCAGTTTTGAGATCAATCATAACCCTGATATTTCTTGCAACTCTAGCCTTTTTCTGGTATAAGTTTTTAGCTTTTGGAGTCAAATCATGTCTAAAGGTCTTTGTTGTATGAACCTTGTTGGAAGTTCAGTGATAAGTGATAACTAATAGCCTGAAAGTGGAAGAACAAAAAAACTTATTCACTCCGTTTCAATTTATTTGCTTGGTTTTAACTTGGCATGAAGTTTAAGAAAGTAAAAAAGACTTTTGAATATTGTGTCTTAGACTAAAAAAAGATAGAATATATCTTTTTTTTCTTGTGGTCTTAAACACGCTATATGGAAAGTCAAAAATAAAAAAGTTGCGAAAAAAGGAAAGGAACATTCCTTTTTAAACAAACTAAAAACGAATGTAAGTCAAACAAGTTGAAATGAATGGGTATCTGGTAATATGTTATGGGATCGAATTGTGAAATATTGAGTTTTTACTTTGTGGCTGCTTTTCTTTTTATTTTAGTTCTGAATAGCAGTTCTTAGAAATTTTTACTTAGAGGTGAAAGATATTGGTTATCGAAATGGATATACCTACCGTTTCTGGTGGAGTTGGTTAGAAATTGAGAGATGGGGGTGATTATTTTTTCTTCTTTATAATTTTGCTATTAAATAATCTGTGACTAAAGTTGTTTCTCTTTGTGTAATTGATGAACAGTTTTATCTTTTCCCATATTTTTTAATGATTAGTTATTATTCATTCGTAACACCGCGAGAACTTATGATTCTGTGTCAAGTGTTCTCCTTTTTATGTTCTCCAGCTTGACTAACTTAAGCATTTTTTAAAGTATGATTCACGTGTGCTGTCTGCTGTTTGGGAATGCGAGGACATAGCTCCTCTTTCTTGGCAAGCATGGGGCCTTGCAAAATTTAGTTCTCATTGAGGGTGGAAATACTAAGAGTCAGTCTTATTAGATCTGAGATATTGACCAACTCTAATGAGCAACCGTGTGTTAATTTATAATATTGTGTCCACAGTTCCAAACAAGTTTGTGTCAGCTACATAAATCCTCATGTCATCATAATACAAAATAAGATAATAGTGAAGATAAGTCATATATATATAAATTGTAATATTGTGTCTATACTTAACAAATGAGTTTTCTGTAGAATTAGGGCCTAATTATGTGGCCAAGCTTACTCCCCTATCTTATGACTTCATTTTGGGACTCATAACCTGGAGTTCTTTTTAGGTAGATGTGTTTATTACCTTGTCTTTCTTCGGGCTGTTATCATAGTTAAAAGCATCGTTATCCACATCTTGAGAAGGAGAAGTTGTATCATTTTGTGGTCAGGACTCAGGATAGTGCAACAAGAGTACATTGAGACTTGAGAGAACTGCTCATGTAGCTTTCTGAATTTTCGCTTTGTCAAGACATATGAATGAATAAATGGGTAGATATTGTATGCAACACATTCCTTCAAATGGTCATGATACATATTTCTGTGGCTTCCTTTATCTTATTATGTTGCTGATGTTACTCTATTTCATTACTGCTTCTTTTTCATCTCTCCTTGAGCTGAGATTCTATCGGGGACAACCTCTTTAGGGGGTAAGTTCTCCTTCCGAATGTGTTCCACTTTCATCCGAGTTTTTCTTTCTTTGTCTTCTCTCCTTTTAGTCCCTTGAACCTTGTATGGTACTGACAAACCTGTGACCAGGCCAATTTTTTTGTTTTGATCCTCTTCTGGTAAGGTATATAAGTTTTTAACTAGAACATTCTTCTTTTACAGGCGGCACAAGCAGAGGAGTCTCGATGGAGTTAGCCGACAGAGCTGTTGGGCTCATTTTAACATTGACTAGTTTGTCCATTTTTACATATTATACCTTCTGGGTTATCATTCTGGTCAGCTCATATTCTCTTCCATCCCATTCTGTACTGACCTTCTATGTTGCTCAGACTCTTCAAAAATGTCGCCATGTGCATGTTGGATCCTTCAAAAGCAGTACGTCTTTTTATGGATACCACAGGTGTGGCGACATTATTGGAGAGTCCGAGCAACATAGCTGACCTTTGCAACCTAAGTTTTATCGGGAGATTGATGTGCAAATGTTGCTTTGTCCTTTCAGCCTCTTGTTGATAGCGATCATTTCGTGCACAAGTATTTTCTACCACAAGAATACGCTATTCTCATTCCTGTATATGCTGCAGTGGCGCTGATCTGCTTATTGAGCGTGTTTATTGGATACGTCATGCTCAAGTCCAAGAAGAAGAAGGCATGATGTAGCTGCGGCAAGTCCATTGTTTGCTCTATCGAGTTCATGATAATTGATCATCTTTTTAGTGCTTCTCGTTTTGAATAGCCCATGCCGGAGAGCACATAGTTTTTTTTTCTGTATTCTCGAGTCAACTACAATTTGGAACCTCTCGATATGATTTTGTAGTAGTCACTACTCACTACTCACTACACAGGTATTAAACAAAACATGGTTGATTTATTCTCTTGTTATTAGCTGGAGGAGTGTAAAAAACCTTGATCAATGACAGTTATACGAAACAAGTCTTTTGGTTTCGATCACCACCATTGTATCATCAATTACTACTTTGAACGTCACGAGTGAAAATTGTATAAGATGGGTGTAGGGAAGGTAGAATGTATGCACCACCACATGCTTTTCACTCACGAATGTGGTGAAAGTTCTTTGCCTTTGTTGTAGCTTTGCTTTTCACTTAAGAATGTGGATGAAAGTCCTTTCCCTTTGTTGTAGCCAAAGATTTGGCCTATGTTGCTCGGACTCTCCAATAAAGATGCACTCATGTGGAATTCCCCCCGAGAATGCACAACTTTTGGAGGATCCTACATACACCCATCGTTATCAAATTTCTGCCAACGCCTCTTTATTCAAAGCTATTTCTTTCATGATTTCTAACGACACTTCTTGAAGACTTCTTTTTTCATTCAATAGTCCCTCTCCTATAAGAGAGGACTTTCTTCACCCCCTAAACAAATTTTGACCTCAAGAGAAGGCAGAGTGACATAAGTTTACCAACCACTGGAAACTAATAACATATATTATAAACAAATGCTCTTAATATTTCAGTTTCCTTCCACTGAGTAATGGCTATACAAATGGCATTATAGATTAAAAAGACAAGATGTATATCGCTTTACAGCTATATATTGTATATATGAAGCTCGAAGGACCTCTACATATCATATACATATACAGGGTCGGACCTTGCTACTGATCCAGAAGAGAACTCTCTTCCTTAACGAGAACAAAAAGCCCGCCATCTCCTCTAGAAATTCGGAGATCACTGTCAACGTATGTCGTAATAAGCCATGATTTTGTCCTCTCACCTGGAATTGGAACCTTGAGAGGAGGTAGACCAGAAATAGTCCGGGCTATACCTGCCACGACATTTTCTAGAGGTCCCAGAGATTGCTGTAGAGGTGACAAACTTATGTTTTGGCCAAAGATATCCATGTTTTCTGGCAGATCTATTTTTGACTTGATCTCTGGAGGCTTAAATGTCCCTTCTTTGATTTCAACCTGATAAGGCAAATACTAGTTAGTATATGAATGCACACAGCTATGGATGTACCCTACAAAGTACCTGTATTCTTGATGAACTCTGAACTTCAAAGATAGCAGTTGCACTGAAAGACGAGGTGGCTACAGGGCTTGACAATGTAGTTGAGTTCTCTATGGTAAGGCTGCTCGTACTAATTGTTTGGCTAATCTTTTCGACCTTCAACAAAGGAATGGTGCCCACAGCCAGAAGAGGTAACAGCTCAGAAAATGCAGTAAACCTGAAACATCAGGAAGCAACAAAAGGATGAGTTTGTGCATAGTAGTATCCCTGTGGTTATCTACCTCAAATCCAGTTAGTGCATGTAATGGTTACATTTCCAACTAGTTCAACTCTTCTATGTACGTCAAGGGGATTCAACAATCTATATATACACAAACTAAATGTTTTTACCCTACTTGCACAGTGTAATTTTCGGAAGGGAGTTCAATTGAACTACCTTCCTTCAACGTCATCACTGTGTGCAGGCATTTTAGTATATTGCAACCAACACTAGCACTACAACGTTGAATACTTACGCATGCTGCTGTGGGAATTATAAAAATTGCAATTACCAATTGACTCTCGTGCACTTGACTAATAACATACGATACCAATTACCTTCCACCAACAACAAGTACCAAATTATGTCAATGGTACTCTAATCTAGTGAGGGACTACATAAGACAATCAATCATTCAATAAACATCTACTTCTATACATTCTTAATAAGATGGAATCAAGTATCAAGATCATCTATGTTGCTCGGACTCTTCAAAAATGACATAGATACATGTTGAATCCTACAAAAGTAGTTATTTGTTTAGTATTCGACAGGGGTGCAACGACATTCTTGGGAAGTCCGGCAACATAGACTCCATTCAATTCGAGCACATATCATTCCACCACAGGTAAATAAGCCCAAAACAGAAAATTGAAATGAGAAACAAGAACTCACACTAAAATCCAGTTCCCGTCGAGCAATTCAACTGTAGTTGGAGTTGGATTTGCTGCCTCCAACTTAGCAACCAGCTCCAGAGCCTCAGCTCGAACTTCAGATGAAGCCCTGAGCCCAAAATCTGTCCCATAAACCGTGTCAATTAAGCACCTTTTCATCTCTGCAACTCTCTCATCTTCTTCAACACCTGCATTGATTCTCCCCACTACCTCAGCTTCGTCCCATCCATCTTCCTCCGTCGATTCGGGTTCCGAAACACCCTGATTACTAACTCTATCAATGAAGTTATTGCCTGTTAGCTTAGCACCGATCCATTCGTCTTCGTCAATAGGAGGGTCCGAATCCGATACCGTTTTCTCGGGTCGGAGCTCCGGAAACGACTTCTCGCCCCACTCATCTTCAATCCCTGAAAAGTTGTTGATCCCAAGCTCAGCTCTACCCCATTCGTCTACGTCAATAGGAGGATCCGATTCCGATAACTTCGTTGTGGGTCGGAGCTCCGGTTTCGACCTCTCGCCCCATTCATCAACAAATGAGAATGGTTTATCATCAGAATCATCGTCGTTTTGCTTGGTTTTTGGAACAAACAATTCCCGAGAATCATCGAATGATGAATGAGTTGAAAATTCTGAAAGCTTTCTAAATCTATAGCTTGATATTGAAGAAGAAGGAAGAAATGAAGTATAACAGTAGGATTTAACAGTGGTATTAACGTTGAAAATGAGAGAATGCAAAGGTAGAATAGACATTTTTTTCCTTTCGACAGCTTTTAGCGTCGGTGACGACAGAGATTCCGGCCGATGAAGTGAATTTTCTCCTTCAAACGACGGTGGTCGTTGGAAATGCCACCGGACACGACCGTGGTTTTCTCTTCTTCTTCCCGGAGGAGTTTGACTTCATGTTTATTTTTTTAGATTAAAAGAAATATATCTGGTTAGTAATTGCTCGAATTCTTAAAAATTACGAAGAAAATTTATCGGATTCTTTAAAACATATAAACAATAGTTATCATATTTTTCAAAAATAATATTATATTTTTAGAAAATGAAAATCATCGAAAGTGAATCATATCATAAGCTGTATAACTATAAATTAAAATACTTAATTATTCAAAATTCGTAATTTTATTTGTAGATTATAAAAATATAATATTCAAATATAGTAGATATATTTGTAATATTTATTCTAAATTGAACGCTATAAATATTATAAATAGACTCTCTTTAGTTCACATTATTATGAAGATATTCTTAATTAATAAATTGTTAATATATCATATAATTATCGAATTTAGTTTATTTAAGGGAAAGTATGTAAAAACACTAACGTACCCTTCGGTTGACGTGGTTGAATTTGCACGACAAGTGGAGACTTCTATAAATTTCAAAAGGGTAATATCGTCATAGAAAAAAAAACCCAAAAAAGTAGCAGAACTACGTCGTTTATCTCACCACTATAAAATCCCATCAAGCTTCAATCTCACTAATCTCCTTTTTCAACATTCAACTCCAATATCCCTCGCCGGGAAACCAAAAAAATCTAGGGTTTGTTGTTCACCGGACTAACGCCGACCATGGCTATGCACGCTGGAGTAGGCTTAACAAAGATCGTGTTCATCGTCGGAGCAGGTATACACTTATTCATAGACTAGTGTGTTGTAAGTTTTTGTTTGTGATGGATTATGGTGAATTTCGTGATTTGATCTGATATTGTATGAATTATATATGCTTTTTTGTGTATATGTAGGGTATACTGGTACTTTGTTGTTTAAAAACGGAAAATTATCGGATGTGATAGGCGAGCTTCAGGTATGTTTTCAATCTTGTTTTTTGATTGCTCGAAGTTAGATTCAATTTGCTTTTTGTGTTTTCAATTCTGTTATAAGAGATTGTACGGTTTTATATCTATGTTACTATGTGTGATATATGTCTTTTGTTGCATCTTCAGTGAGCTAGAATCTGCTTAGATGTTTAGCGTCCTTCACCTCCAACCTTTAGGTTATAGGTTCCAGTCCCTTACCTTAAGGACATAGATTCAAGTCCCTTACCTTAAGGCTAGGGAGTTTGAGTCACTAAGGGAACACTAGGGAGTTTGAGTCACTAAGGGAGCAAGCTAGGGCCATATAATAGAAATTGAAACCAAAACTGCCAAGGGGCATGATGAAACACGTGTGTTGAGTTTGAACGTTTCTTTTCCAATGTTTGTGGCAGAATTTGGTCAAAAGTTATGAAAAGACGGGGGAATCAGATGGTGGAGACTCGGATGTCATTGCTGCACAGGTACCCAACTTAATCTTGTCGTTAGGATGATTTTATTTATTTAATATGTTTTTTGGTTAATCAATCGAGTTGTGATCTGCTAAGTTGCACGGATTCTTTACTTTCGAAGCCTCACCCATGTTGGATTCTCCAGAAGTACACTAATCTGACACACACTCATTGACATTTTTGAAGAGCCCGAGCAACATAGATGATCCATTTTACCTATCAATTAGAATTTACCTCTCTAAATTTCAATTTCCTTTCCGTAGATTGAAATTAAGAGGCCTTAAACACAAAAATATTATGTACATACTACTTGGTTTTAGAGTGTATATTCTGAAATGACAAAAAGCATTTAACTTCCCATCTTAAAATCTTTATTTATCAATATGAAGATTTAAGTTTAACTCAAGTTGCTAAAATATTCTTGATAAAAAGTAGATAGTTCCTCTTTTTTAATTAGTTTTTTTAAAAAATAATAACATTCAATATTATTTCAAATGAAGTTAAAATCATAAAATTCACTATTAAAATTTTTTGGGCCTAAAGCAGATGTTTACTAGCCTTGCTCTTGAGCCACCCCTATGCCCACAATATCTAGATATTGTTGCGTGGGCATGAGATATAATTTGTTATTTGTCATGGTGTTGTGTATGGAAGTACTAATAATTTACCACAAAATGTAAATTCTGCTGAAGAGAAATACCATTGTTTGAGATCCATTATTGGTCTAGAAACTATAAGCTAGTGATGAGTGGTAGGATGATGGTTATCCCGATGCTATTCTCCCAGCCGCCTCTCCAGTGGGACTTTCTCTGTCTTGTATGGATGAGATTTGAAATCCATGGTGAATCTTCTCTACCAAAAATGGATTAAAAAATTCTCTATATTATACTTGTTAAAAAAAAAGGGTGAATCACCCCTACTTCTTTAGGACTTCAATTGATTCCTTTATTTCTCTTGTAGGTTCGTAGATTGGCAATGGAGGTTCGGCAATTGGCTTCGGCACGATCAATTACTGTTCTTAATGGAAGTTCTAGTGGTATGTTCTACCATTCTTTCAGTGATGCCTTCTCATACTAGATTTTTCCATCTTTGCCTTTGACTTGGCAGAAGTTGCTTTTTAATGATGGTGTTCCTTGATCCCATTTTTCCTGGCAGGTAACTGGACATCTCTGGTAATGCCAGCCGCTGCAGCAGGTGCCTTGGGTTATGGATACATGTGGTGGAAGGTGAAATAACCCTTATATTCCTTATTTATTAATACTACATCTCAAAGGAGACTGCCACTAGCCTGAAGAAAAAGATACCATGTCGAGCTTTTAATAATTCATGCAATACTTTCTTTCTCTCATGATCTCTAATTTCACTGTGTTATCTTCACCTCTTTCTCTCGTTATACTTGTAGGGTTTGTCATTCTCTGACCTTATGTATGTAACAAAAAAGAATATGGCAACTGCTGTCTCAAATCTGACAAAACATCTTGATAATGTCTCAGAGGCCCTTGCTGTAAGTATACACCTGTGCTTTCTTCTTTCGTTTTTCCTCTGCAATCTTTGCACATGTTAGCCTTGCCATGTAGTCAAGTTAAAAGTATGCCCTTTTTCCATTCATACTTACAGTGATTAGGGTTCTTCCGGTAAAAACTTGATATCCAATAGTGTGCTGTTACTACATTATCAGATCCCTCACCCGCTGGGGACTCCTGATGTTAGCCAGAAACCATTTTTCGTGTTTGTATTTTCTGAAATTACCTTATCATATCTGGTCCTATTCAATTGGGCTTTTTGTAATGTTAATCAACTTTGGGCGGAGAAGGAGGAGGGAGCAGGAGAGGGCCCTGAGCCGGGAATTTGAACTTAGAAACTAGCTGGATTGATGTGTCCTACGTCTGTTTAAACGTTGGAACTCCCAATGTCGGGTCTAATTACTAAAACTCACCCCAACAATCCATTTGGCGCATTTAAATCAGATTGTATAGTACACCAAAAGTTGTGTTGGAGATTATTCGATGGTCTTCTGGGCTTGCACATGCATCATTTGTTAGTTGCTGCTTCTGTGCGTCATGGCAGTATCTGCCACATGTTCCTGCTGGATAGGGACCACGTTTTCTGCATGATTTGAATCACTAAAGGAGTGATCTATTTTACCTGCCAAGATTGAGCTTCAACACATAATATAAATTATGGACAATTAACTTGGTATGGACAGACTTTCTGTAAAGCTTCCTTAAAACTTCGGTGGCTGAAGCTTATTCTGGTTAAGTTGGAATTGGTTGAAGAGTACACATAGCAGCTGTTTGCACTTCGCAGGAAACAGCGAGTTCAAGTCTATGCAGTGGGCAATGAAATATTAGTGTAGTCATTGTGTGAAAATATTCCAACTATTACACATGGGTGTAAGTTTTTTAATCTGACTTGGCTCATCAAGTCTGTGCTTCTCTTCACGGGTGGCGTCTGTTTGAATGTGGAGATGATGTATCGCTTTTATTTTTGACGTGTTTTTATTTACAAGCAATAATACTAAATTTGAGAAAGCTTCATATTTAAGCCTAGTTATCAGTTGGTTATCAAGGGTCTTGTTACCTTTCTTCGTTCAGATGAACGGATAGAGATTCATTACTTTGATATATATCATACAATTCTATTTACATAGCTTCTTCTGAGCTGACACTTTGACATGTTTTATGTACATAAATTGCATCAGCATCAACATTGTTTCTAAATGTTATAAATATGCGGGTTTGTAATTATAATGTCTTGTTAATCCCATCCTTTCTTTTGTTCTGTTTTGTGCTTTGATCAGGCTACAAAGAGGCACTTAACGCAGCGAATTGAGAATGTGGATGGAAAATTGGATGAGCAAATGGAGATGTCAAAACTGATTAGGAGTGAGGTGTGTATTCTGGGGTTGTCATCTAATTTCATGGCACTGCATTATTTTATTTTTATGTTTCTGTTGTAGCGGAAATGTCAGATTCCTACCTTCCAGTTCCGATGACCACAAGAGAATCATAATACTGAATTACTGAGAATCATAATACTGTTTTTCCTTATCAAAGTTAAAATCACAGAACAAAATTATAATGAGAAGTATGGAGTTGGTACCAATTAAAAGAAAAGAAAAGATAAGTATGGAGTTGTTATAATCAGGTTTTTGTTGTTCTGGAACAGGTTAATGATGTGCATGGCGATCTGTCCCAGATTGGTTTTGATCTGGATCAACTAAACAGGATGGTTTCTGGTCTGGTGAGCTCTTCTTTCAGGCATAATGTGTATTTCTCCAAAAAGATTTTAAGGCACTTTTCTTTCTGTTATATCTAAATCTATGTGGAGTACAAGCTTTTTTCAATGGTCTTAACTGTCATCTTGGTCATGGTGCCTGTCTATGTAAACATATATTGACATATCTATTTCATAATAATATCTGTTACCTACTGATCTTTTTATCTCAACTGTATTTGAATTTGTAGGATGGCAAGTTACTTTCTTTGGAAGGCAAGCAGGTAATTTGAAAAAAATGTTATTTCAGCTGTTACTACAAATTCTGTTCATTATTATTGATGGCCAAAAAGGTCTAATATGTGGTTTCTGGAACTAGTAGTGAATATCTATTTTCCAAGTCAGCTTCATTGATATTCAGTACTAAGTATTGCACTTACTGTTGATAACAGGACCTTGCAAATGCTGGTGTTATGTACCTGTGTAATTTTATCAATGGAAAAACGGTGAAGATGCCTGAGACACTGCAGGTTTGTACAATTGTTAGTTCAAGTAATCTCTTACACTAAAATGCTGTTCGCCTCAGCTTTATGCTTGCACAAATTGACTTTTGCTTCTAATCCTCTCCCTGAATCGGAAGGCTCGGGAGTGTGGATACGTTTAGTGAACCAGAAAAGAAATAAGTATCCTTGTTCTAAAAAAATTCCTTTTCAAGTACAAACTCTTTTTCGACTTAACTTCAAATACTACTTTTTTCTTTTTTCAAATATCACTCAATTTGTGTCCAAACACCACCCTACTTAATTATTCTCCATGCATGATAGGATTTTCTTGAATTTTTTCGTATTTAAAGCATGGAGAGAACCTCTTAAGATACTTATACTATGATCCAAAGACCACATAATTGGATAACAATTTTGCCTTGAATGTTTCTGATTTTTAGTTCTGGAGAAAGTGAGATGGAAAAGTTTGTTTTATCAGTAATTTTACTTCCCTTTGAGAAGAGTTCTGACAAATAGACCAGAACTATTAATGGCTTTGGTAAAGTTGAGTCATGGATATTTTGGTGTATGAGATATTTTTTGCAAAACATTGGGAGGAGCATTGCTAGAATAAAATACAGTGGAGATAATAAAGATTTTTATTACATACATTGAAAAACTGTGATACTTTCTAGGTAGTTTATGCTCTATGAGCCTATTTTTCTTCTCTTTTTGTATGATATGATATTTTGATGGTTTATGGTTGTTCTTGATGCTTGCTACCAATATGTTTTTAATCATAACTTCCTTCTGCAGGAACAACTTAAAATTGTGGGCAACTCTACACCTACTCTGATGGTACTTCGGCTAACTTGAACATTTCTTGTTGTGTTACTGCTTATTGTCCGTCTGCTAGAGCATATGCTGTGGTTCATATTTCTTGTCATTTCATATTGTCTCGGTGAACATCAGGAACCTTTGTAATTTCACTAGTATTTGACTTCACTAATCTTGTTACAGGGCCTTAAAGAACTTGTGGATGCCTTACCAGAAGTAAACAGCAAGAGACTTATTACAGATGGCACTACTCAAGATGGTATTGATAAATTGAAAGAGCCACCTAGACCCCTGTTGAGGTATTGTTTCCGACTTTCTTCAGTTCCAGATTCTTTTCGCAAGTTTTAACGCCGCATCTCCCCATTCTCTCCTTTTCTTTTATTATGATCACTACAAAAGATTGTAGTTGCTTATTTTAATAATTTTTTTCCACCTGGGGAGTTGGTATTTACCTTTTTCTATAGTGGTGGCGGGGTGGGGCAGTGGCGGTATCTTTTGCCAAGATCTACTAGATATCTACAAATAATTGACTACTATGAGGTCATTTAGGAATCGATAAACTTCAAATTCTAGATCCGCCTTTGGAGCAACAGGGGATTGAGTGGACTTAACCTATATAGGTCAAGATCCTTAAGTATCTTCTGCTGAGGAATAACCATATCTCTTTCTAATCATTTTTTCGTTGATGGATTTAACAGGACTGCCTCTACCAAGTGCTGATTAAGGGAAATATGTGAATTTCTCGTTTTGTTATTTCTTTTTACCTTTTGATGTGATATATGAAGGCACAACATATGAAACAAGGGCGGGTGATGATTTTTTTTTGTAATGAATAGCAATCTATCAGATTGCTTTTCTGGGTTTGTTATGATATGAACTTGTCCTATGCTATTTTTTCACCCATGTTAGTAATTATACTCGCAGAAATTTGTACATGCTAAAATAAGTACACGCCAGTGAATGGAAGAATACTGCAATGCTATGTTCTTTTTACCGTTTCTTTGGAACAGGATTGTGCATTCTTTGGTTATTTTTGTATCTTAGGAGGCGCTACTTGTGGAATTTCACTAGTATGTTAATATGCAAGAAAGCATCTCTCTCTGTGTTCCTGTATTTTTAGGTTGTTTGTTGGTTGTTACGTGAGTTTGATCAATGATTGTCTACTATCACAAAGTGTAGCTTTAGAAGCAAATTGGTCAATTTTTCAGCCTACTTTTGTTGTTGAATTACCATACAAAGACAAAATAACCCTGATTCTATTGGGCTATAAACCAATGCAACTATTTTGGTATTCAAAAGACAAACAAAGATACTTGTTTCTTCTTTCAACCAATCTTAAAAACTATGTCTTCCTGTTGTTTTTATTTAGGTTAAAGAACAATTACTTGACAAATCTATCAATAACTATAGATTATTAATATTAGCAAGTTTAGGATATTGACTCAGTAAGTTTAACATATCCTATAATTCAAATTAAAATCGATGAGTTCTGCTGAATGTAATTTAACATAAATTCTGCACTGTTTTGATTTTATTTTTTTTTAAAAAGATACATTGAAGAAAAGTAGTAAATACGTAATATCTTTTGCAATGCTCTTAAAAGACTCAAAGTTTTTGAGTCCATTATTAAACCACTACTAAAAGTAAGATTCCATTTTCTTTTTTGGGGTCTCTACTTTTTATTGTAATAGAATTTTTATTATACTTATATATATTAACTTCTGTCTGTATTTGTTATCAAAATTGATAATGAATGTGATGATAATTTTGAATCTGTCTCTAATACCATGCATAGGGATTCAGAGTGACTTTATCGAACTTTTTTTTATCAAAAATAATTCTTTTTGTTTGCCAAATCTCTAGACATAAGGGAGACTTCAAAGGCAACAATAAAGCTAGCTTGAGAATTTGCTTTAGGTCACGAGTTTGAATTTCAAATAATTCGGCACTTTTGAAATTTTTAAAAGGATTTAATTAAAATTACTGGCTTCGTTACTAGATCAATGGTTAGTAGAGCTTCATAATTTAAATTTTTGGTAGTTTCTTGTTGCTCTCTAACTTCATTGAAACACAAATATAGTTGAATTTGTGAAAGATTTGATCATAGTCAATACTATTGAAACTTAAAAGAAAAATAAATTCTCCCCCCAAAGGCATCATCTCTATCAAAAGTACTTAGTCAAATTCTAAGATGAATTAGCATAATTATTACTTAATTAATAGTTTAAAATATTCATGCATTTATTAGCCATGATTGAGCTTTGGATTATAGTTAATTATCATGTGCCCAGCGCCTTTCATGAAAAAAAGAAAATAAATAATAGCTGACTAAAATATTAGAAAAAGAAAACTTACCTAAATTGCTTACTAGTGCACCAATAATTGAATTCAAACAACATCATAAATAATAAAGAAATTCTTTTTATTAGATTCACAACTCAAGAAAAATTAATTTTAAAATTGAAGGATTAATATAACACATGTTTCAATATTTATATTTCAAATTTGAAGTTAAAAATAATATAGATAAATAAGTGTGAATAAGTGTTTTCTTTTTTCATTAGGTTGAATTTACATTATTAGTTTTAGCTACGGATTCATAAAATCCAATAATCTAACCAAAATTTATATTTATATTAAAAATTTACTTAATATTTATATATAAATATTGTATTTCAAATTCATTAAGCTATAGTGTCGTTTTAGAACTCAAAAATTTAAAAGACTAATTCTATCCTATAAATATCATTGTTGATAGCTACGTTAATTAAAAATATATATATATACTTACCCAATACAATAAATAACAATAAAAATTCTAAGGTTTGAAAATAATTAGTCAAAACTTTCATCTCTTTGACTTTCAACATTATTTTTGGATTTTTAGGCACATGCATGCATGTATTTCTATTATCTTTATATAATGAATAAATTATAATAATCATAAATTATTAATATTTTATGTTAAACATGTTTAAGAGTATAATTCTTTTTCAAATTCTGTTAACGCGAAATAATTTTTTTTATATCGATATATTCTTATCTTGTTAATGTGAAAAGAGATTTTGTTTATGTAGTATAAATAATAAAATAAATATTCTTAAAGGAGGAATGTACAGTAAGAATTGATTATGTTTGGTAAATGATAACGCGTATGCTGCATTTGTTTGGTGAAGTTTGATTAATTACAAAGTTTAAAAAAAGACTAAGATTTTTAAAAATAGGGTGATGGGTAGTGGAGGGTTGTTTTGCTTTTCGAGGGTTTAGAATTGTTGATACTTGTCATCGTATTAACCTTATTATTACAACTTTTTTTTTTGGTACCTATTATCGTATGTTATTTATCTTGTTTTGATTACTACGCTATATTTTATTGTTCTTGTTCCTTTCATGTTGACTTTACATTGTTTTCCTTCGTTACTTGTTATGATTTCTGCATTGTTTTCTTCTTTTTTATAATAAATTTATTACTTCTGTGTCGAGAATATTTCGAAAACACCTTTTAATGATAAAATATATGTATACTCTCACTACTATTGGATCTATCTAGATATATTATTGTTATTGTATAATTTTAAATATGACATAATATTTAATGTATGTCAATGAAAACTCTAATTAAGGGTAACTAAATAGAATGTATAAGTTGATCGTTTCTAAAAGAAATGTACCAAATATTGTAGAATGGGCCAAAATACACACGATATATCTTGTGTAATTTCACCGTAGGGTTTAAAGAGGTTAAAGTATGTACAAAGACACGTCGAGCGATTGTTATAACTCAAATACTTCATATAAAAAATAGTTGAAGGAAAAAAATATGAAAATAAAAAAAGACATAGCAAATAATAATTAAATAAAAGACATCATATAGCTTGCAAAAAACAAGGAACAACAATAACAAAATAATCAACAAATTATAACAAGAGCCTTTTTAAATTTGTGTCAAATTAAATAATGTTATAAAATCAACATAGGGAATATTCTTTTATTTTCTATCAATCTAATCAAACTGTCATAGGAAATTGAACTTCAATTGTTAGTAGGGGCTTGAAAATAGACTTTTGAACATACACTAATAAAATATTTAAATATTCTGCAAGTATATGTAGGTACAAAATTGCACATAATCATCAAACAACTTTTTTATTTTTAATTAAAAACTTTAATTCAAACCTTGGATATAAGTCATTTTTGATTAAAAATGTATTTTAAATTCAAAATTAAATTTTTCGTTATGTATCTAAATTAATCGAGATAAACAAGAAAAAGGGGAAGACAAAATGATGATAATATAAAGGAACAAAAATAATGTAGTGGATAATTAAGGCATATATCACTTTCTCAAGCCCCTTTTCTGCTAATTTTGTACTTTTGGACTTGAAAATTTTGCCCTATAATTATAACTAGAAAAAAAAATCTTTTTTTTGCTGCTATTTGCAGATTTGCTCCCTCAAATTCCCTATCTTTCAACAATCCAATCAAATCTTTTGGTCATAAATACTTTCCTTTTGGACCATAAAAAAGGCAGTACTTGACAAAATAAAATCTTAACCAAAAGATATGTTTGTTTAGCAAATACACATGATTTTATACAGAGTGATATTAGTTTTTTTTTTTTTTTAAAAAAAAATATCGAATTTATAAGCTCATCAAATTAGTAAATACCGTAAGGGCGTGTGTTTGATTTTTCGATTTGATTTTGCATTATTCGGTTTGAATTTTTTTGATTTTTGGTTTTGTAAAGTGTAATTCAATCCGATCCAAAAAGAATTGATTTGGTTTGGTTTTCCTCTATTCGGTTCGGCTCTTTTCGATTTATGTCAATCTTTAATATCATAACCAAACTAACAATATTAAATCCCTTGTAATTCATAAGTAGTAGAACTTAATAATACAATACTTATAAGTATACCTATTAAAAATGTTCAAACACAAAATATAAACGTTATCATCAGGAAAGAAATAAAAAGTGGTTAACTTCAATTCAATCCCAAACATAAACACTTTATATATCTATATATAATTCGTTTTTTTTTTTCGGTATTTTGATTTTGATTTTTTAAAATTCGAAACCAAACCATAAAACCAAACAAAGTAAATTATTAATCCAAAATCAATTCGAAAAATCAAAAAACCAATCCGAATAAAATTTCAATTTGATTATTTGGAAGCTAAGGTGCGATAAGCTTAAACAATTTTTTTTTGATATACTATGTATACTCATAAGTCATAATAAAGTATGTTGGAGCTTTTTAGAAAAAAGTAAATGTGTTTTGATATATTTAAAACCTTTTTATTTTAAGCCTCTTATTCGTACTTTGTAGCAATATTTATTGTTTGTGTATAAAGTCATGTATACTTTGTATATATAGAGTATATATTGTAATTATATAATTTTAGTTACTAGTTATGGATTACAATATATTTTACTCAATTATTTGTATTTATTTAAATTCTCTAAAAATAAATTTAAAATTATGTTAAAAATCTGATGACGTAGGCTACCCAATATATCCAAGCCTAAATAGTTACATTACTATTTATCGATTTTAACCTGTTTAAATTCGGTTAAGATTGTCAATTCAACACCTTCTAAGTATTATTATGTTTGAATTAGACAATTCAGTGTATTAAAGCTTTTGTTACGTGTGGAAATATATGGAATAATTTATCCCTTAGTAGGATTGTATTGTTAAATAGATTTTGATTTTGTAATTTGTAGTATCTAAATGGTGGGGATATATGGCTAAAAGTGTAAATCAGCCACAAATGTAACATTATTGCAAAAAAAAAAGAGAGAAAATATAAAGAAATATAGGTGATGTTTTATTTGTTATTAAAATATAATAAAGTTTTCCAATAATTATTACTTATTAAATAAATAACACATATGAGGTGGAATAATTGGGACACAAGTTCGTTTAAATTTTATGAAAAGATAAAGGGCAGTATTTAATAGCTTTTGATTCGAAATATATATACTAACACGTATAAAA